TCAGAAATGTGAGTCAGCCCTTCAGTCTGACTGTTCAGGTCTTTCATTGGTTCAGGAAACCTTCTGGATCTGTTTTTTTCCTTCTGGGGTTTGCACTTTCTGGAGAGAGAGTAATCCTCTCACTCTCCTTGTCCTGTCTTTCTGAGTCCCTGCTTCTGTTTTGTGTGAGTTAACCCTCTTGTGCACTGCCTGCCCTTCCGGGAGTGTCCATGCTACTATTTACAGGGCTTCTGTTGAGTTTTTACTCTACTAGTTTTTAATTTCTAAAATCGATCTAGTTCTCTGATTGGCTTTCCTCGTAGCAGTGTACTCACATATTAAAGCACTGCCCTCTTGAAGCTCACTGAGAAATCAGACTTTTTTTAAAAGTTCTCCCTCTTTGCTGAATTAATTTACCAAGGTCATGTGCCTTGCTTAGCTTTGCTTCCCCCTTTCATGCTGCTGCTTCTCTGTATGTGTCCAGTGAGTTTTAATTGTCCATTCATGTACTTAAACTCAGCAAAAGGCATATTAGAATCCTTTGGGCAGCCTTATCATAACATACACCGTGGGTCCCACCAGTGAATTTGGAATGTTCCATGTGAGGGCAGCATTGGGTTAAGATCTAGAGACACAGAGTCAGATAGAGATCTGTGCTCGAATCTTGGCTCCCCTTCTTTCTTGCTGACCCAGTTCTGGTCCCCATCAGCTCCTGAGGTGGTCCTCTGAGAGCACACAGGGCTGGTGGGCAGGGCCTGGAAGGAGGCACTGGACGCCGGGGTAGCATGTGTACCTTCTGAACCTGGAGCGGCTCTACCCATGACTCTGGCCCCTCTGCCCAAGTCCATTCCCTTGCCCCATGTCTGTGTCCCTGGTTCCAGGGAGGAGCGCCTGCCATCTTTGTAAGAGCACTCTGTCATCACACTAAAGCTATTTATATATCTGAAAATACTTTGTATGCCTGACCCTTGCCTCTTTACGATCCTTCCATGCCCCTCTCTCTTCCTGCTCCATGATTTCTTTATGATTCAGAATATCACCTAAATGATGCACGAAATGGTCGTACCCAACAGCTTAGAACTCAGGATCCTGTAGTTCTTCTAGGAAAAGCAGGCCCAGCTTTAATTCCATTCTAAATGTTCATGAGTGTGTCTGATACATTTTTGTTGTTGGTCAGTCACTAAGTCATGTCCAGCTCTTTGCGTCCCCATGAACTGCAGCACCCCAAGCTTCCCTGTCCTTCACTCTCCCTTGAAATTTGCTCAAACTCGTGTCCATTGAGTCAGTGATGCCATCCAACCATCTCATCCTCTGCCACCCCTTCTCCTTTTGTCTTCCGTCTTGCCCAGCATCAGGGTCTTTTCTTTTCTAATGAGTCACGTCTTCACATCGGGTGGCCAGAGTTTGATATCTACCCCCCTACTGCCCCAGCATGGTCAAGCATAGAAGATGATACTAATTTCCCTCAAACCAAGAATTTGAAATGAACCAGTGGATAATAGTGGCCAGCCTTGTGGCCTCTCTTTTTGGGGGTCACATCTTTCAGGAGCACCTTCAGCATGATCTCTTCCCCCCCATATCTGAAATTCTAATTCTTTTGAAACATCAAAAGTAAAATTGCTTCTCCCTCATGAAATAGCAGCTGCTGCTGCTGCTAAGTCACTTCAGCCATGTCCGACTCTGTGCGACCCCATAGACGGCAGGCAGCCCACCAGGCTCCCCCGTCCCCGGGATTCTCCAGGCAAGAACACTGGCGTGGGTTGCCATTTCCTTCTCCAATGCGTGAAAGTGAAGTAAGTCGCTCAGCCGTGTCCAACTCTTAGCGACCCCATGGACTGCAGCCTACCAGAGTCCTCCCATGGGATTTTCCAGGCAAGAGTACTGGAGTGGGTTGCCATTGCCTTCTTAAATGAAATAGCTGAGGACCTTTAAACTGAGACAGTAAGCTCAGCTGCCATTTTAGAGTTAGGGTTCCATACCACCTGTCCCACTCTGGGGCCCCAGTTTGTCAGATGGCTGCACCCTGCTTTCCCATTAAGGAGAACATTTATTCAACAGGTTACTTTTTGATCATAAAGCCTAAGCACCTCTTCCATTTGAGGTTGTGGCCTCCCCTGTAAGCATGGGGGTGGAGGGAATGGGAAGTGTGATAAATGAGTACTCATTTACCAATAGTTAAGGCCGTACGGTGCCCAGTGATAGATTCTCCATGCCTGTGAACTCATCGAGTGCCATGTAGTGTATTTCAGGGGCATCCGTTGTACGTAGGGTCAAACCCACGTCCAAACCAAGGCCCACCTCTGCATGACCTCACACTGCCCGCCTCTCCATCATATCTCATTCTGTCTCAGTTATTTTTGCCATACTGGCCTCTCCTGTTTTCCAAAGCTCTGTATCTCAAAGACCTCTGTTTAGAATGTTTCTTACCTAGGGCTCCATGTCCTCCATGGGTCCCCACTCATAAGTCACCTCCTCCAAGAGTCTTCCCAGACCCCTCCAGGTGAAATCACCAGCCCACTGCTCACCTCAGCAGCTACCCCTCCTCATGTCCTCCTGTTCATTTCTTTCATACACTGTCTGCCTCTCCAGTAGAACCTAAGTTCCATGGTGCCAGTGACTCTTTTCTGTCTTAGTATCTGGGTCCCCAGCACCTAGAACAGTGCTTCTGCTCTGATATCTTATGCATGAATGAATCAACAGTTGAATGAACTCCCACAATAGTATTATAAGCTCTAGATACTTTTTAAATCCATTTGTGGATGAGCTTCAGAAAAGTTGAGTAAATTATCTCCAGTTGTATACAGCTGTATTCAGACTCAAGTCTTCTGGGCTTCTGACTCCAAGAACCATCCTACAGACACAAAAGCTAAGGACAGAGCCTCAGCTAGAAACAAGCTCCTGATTGCTGTGTTCAGGGTTCTTTCTCCACAGTGGTTTTCCAACTGTAACTCATGAATAAAACGGGGACTGAGGAGTCCGTTCTTTTTATTCTTTTACAGTTCATTCCCTCCCCAACCCAAGTGGTAGATCTAAATTTGATACTGTATTTGTCTTGGGAGTATTTAAACCCAAAACGGAGCTACCCTTGTGGTTTGTCTATTTTGGGGTCAAATCACAATTCAAAAGAATTATTTCTGCTGAGGGCTGAAGGAAAAACTTTCCAGGTGAGAGGAGGGCAGAGGCATCCTTTCCCCAAGGATTTGTCTGAGCAGAAAAGCTGCTGGGATTCTCTCCCGACCCTCGACGGCCCAGAACTGGGACCTGCAGAGTAGAGTCTGGAGTTGCTCTTCTTCAAGAAAGAGGCCAAGTGAGCCAAACATCTCCACTCAGCTAGCTTCCTTTCAAAAGTGGAGGTTGCCAGAACACTGATCTCATAACCCCCTCTTGTGGCCATGAGCTGTCACTGCAGCCTCTTTCCATGTTACGTGAGTAGAGGCTGGCTTTACAGCATGGTTGCCAGCAAAGGTCCATCTAGTCAAGGCTATGGTTTTTCCAGTAGTCATGTTTGGATGCGAGAGTTGGACTATAAGAAAAGCTTAGCGCTAAAGAATTGGTGCTTTTTAAACTGTGGTGTTGGAGAAGACTCTTGAGAGTCCCTTGGACTGCAAGGAGATCCAACCAGTCCATCCTAAAGGAAATCAATCCTGAATATTCATTGGAAGGACTGATGCTGAAGCTGAAACTCCAGTACTTTGGCCACCTGATACAGAGAACTGACTCATTGGAAAAGACCCTGATGCTGGGAAAGATTGAAGGCAGGAGGAGAAGGGGACGACAGAGGATGAGATGGTTGGATGCCTTGACACAATGGACACGAGTTCGAGTAAACTCTGGGAGTTGGTGATGGACAGGGAGGCCTGGCACGCTGCAGTCCATGGGGTCACAAAGAGTCGGACACGACTGAGCAACTGAACTGAGCTCCCTTCCTTTGGCAGAGCTTCTGTCTCCTGCAGGTGCTGTGGACACCCCAAGCACCCTTGGGGGAAGCTCCCCACCGTGTTCACATCTCTTTTCCCCCTGAGGTCAGAAGTACACTGCCCAAACTCAAAAAGCGGAATAGCCGCATTTTGATTCCTAAGGCAATGTTGTGCTCTGGGACAGAGAATACCAGGAGATCTGTTCAAGGGTCCTCAAATGGAAGTTAGGTCCCCTAACTCCAGGCCTCATCGTGTCTGACAACTGCCAGACAGACGGGCCTTGGGGATTGGTCCCAGAGCTGTGCACCTCCCTTCCTGTCAGGGCCATGTGTTCACCTTCCTTCCTGTAACAGGCAGGTCAGCATTTATTATACTTGGCCTTATGTGCAAAGCACAGTGAAATAGACTTGCTGACTCTGCTTAACGTTCTGCCCATAAAATATATAAAAGTAGATGCATTCCTGTCTAGCAGGACTATGACGAGGATTGAGAGAGTTTATGAATAAAGGATCTACCACATTGCCTGGGACACAGGCCTTGAATAAAAAGCAGCTACTTTTAAAAAGAATGCCATTTTCTTAACAGCTCTGTGTTTTTCTACCACATCTGCTTTCCTGTTCCCTGCTTTCCCCTCCCCCAGTGTGTATCTATTCGTTCATTTTCTCCCTTGTCTCAGCTTCATGTTAATGCCTCTGTTCTCCATCACTCCATTCCTTCTGAGATTCTCTGGGAGCTCAGTGACCTGACTTCCCCGGGAACACCTTTACTTGTTTGGACTAACTCTTGGACTTGTCCTGGCACCCTGTAGTCCTTTAACCCACAGTTCATAATTCCTCAGAAAAGAAGCCACTGGCCCGCCCTCTCTGCCTGAGGTCAGGTTAGAAAGTGCAAGTGCATGTTCCCTACCCTGGGTTCCTGGGAAGCCCGGAGCTTGGCCCCGCCAGGGAAGGAAGCAGAGATCTGAGCTGCAGAGGGATAGGTGTGCCTTCAGGGCTGCGCAGCGGTGGTGCTGGGAGCCAGTGCTACGTGTGGGCGTCTTGCCTCCCCGAGTTTGGTGAGCGGCCTCGTGGGCCCCACTGACTGACTGTTTCTCTCCTGCTGCAGACCCACTCTGGATATTTCTCCAGCTTGTACCCCCCTCACCAGTTTGGCCCGTTCCCGCATCATCACTCCGTAAGTGCCCACAGTTGAGTTCCGCCGGCCGCTTGTCCCCCTCCGGTAGTCCTTGGCAGACTGACCAGGGCGCGCCCACGGCGCGCATGCTGTGCCCGTGGCTCCAGGCCGTCCCGGGAGTGATGGCAGGGCAGCAGCACGGGAGGATGCCCCGTCAGCGTCCTGCTCGTGCCCACAGGTCCCACGGGTGGCTGGGAGCTGCTATGGGGAAGGGTGGGGAGGTGATGCTGGGCTAGAGAACAGTCTCCACAGTTCTTTAACAAAGCCCAGCAGGTGGGCTGTGTCATTCCCACAGGCCTCTGTGGACAGGGACTGCAAGGGCCCCCAACGCCCTTGCCCATGTCTCTAGGCTGGCCCTGTGCGGCCCAGTCAGAGCAGGTTTAATTAGTCTCATTGTGAACCATCGCCCCTGCAACATCCGCTCCTGCCAAGGAGGTGGAGGGCAGCTCTGCATTCCCACTAATAAAGTGCCTCAGGCCCGGTATGCTTACGAGCTGCTGATTCCTTGGAGGAAGACACAGAAGAGATACTCATGTTTGAACTTCACAGAAAGCCTGTGAACAGACAGCTTACTGGGACCAGCGAATTCAGAGCTGCTCGAAAGAAATTTGCACTCTGGTTGTAGTGTAGTTATTAACAGTATGGCCGCTGTTCAGGTTCATCCCTCCAGCTTCCCACCTGCAGTGCCCCAGGCTACAAAGAATCCCATGCCGCACCCAGCCACTGGTCTGTAATGGTGAGTGCCTGGGGAGGCAGCCCGCAGGGGAGTGATGGCGTCTGTCTCGTCTTGTCCTTCCAGTATCCAGAGCAGGAGATCGTGAATCTCTTCATCCCGACCCAGGCCGTGGGGGCCATCATTGGGAAGAAAGGGGCGCACATTAAACAGCTGGCCAGATTCGCCGGGGCCTCCATTAAGGTAAAGCTGCTCTTGACAGCCGTCCGTGTCCCACCCTCTTCCACCCCCACCACCTATCCCATGTCCCTTATTCCTTGTGTCCATCCTGGGGAATTCTTACCACCACCCGCAGAATCTTGGAGGACCTAGAAAACCTGCCCTCAGCACTGTTTCCATATGTACTCACGTTTACCTCTCTTCACTCCTTTTTTTCTTCAACTGACAAAAATGAATTAGGAAAAAAAATACTAGTAACACATAAGCCAACCTAGTCTTTCTTGGGCTACCATTGTCCTCCTCTCCTGAAGATAAAACAGGATTCTCCCAAGTGAAGGGACTGTGGGCCTGAGGGAAATGATAATTTATACTCAGCAGTTGTCAGTGCTTTGATGCCTTAGTTAGTCTCCACTTCAGAAACCCTTGAACTTTGAAACAAAACAGTTTGAATGAAAAGCTCTTTGAAAAGCAGTGATGAAACCACAGACAAAAGCTGGTGACAAAGCCTGAGATGCAGCCTGGACACTGAGCAGGGGGTCAGGGAGGAAGGCCCCTTGATTCACGCAGCGCCCGAGCTCCGAGGTCGCTGCAGTTCCATACCCACATCCTGCCTCCCAGAGCATAACGGGAAGAGTCGTCAGAGAAACTGAAAGGGGAGGATTATTCGGCCCTGGTCCTGCTCCAAGCCCAGCTATCAGCGCTGACTCACGGGCAGAATGCTGAGCACGTCCCAAGCCTCATGAAACACTTTCGGAAACAGAGTTTCCGTTGTTACGTAAAATAATTCGCTGCCATGGGACAACCCGGAATTCCGAGCAAGAAGTCTCATGATTTGGAGAGAAAGAATGCTTACTTTCTCCCCAAAAAGAGCTGGAATTTCTCCCACAGCAAGTGTGCTGGAGGAAAAAAAAAACATTGAGTGGTACAGAACAAGGACTGCAGTGAGACCATGACAGAATGTTATGTAGGTAAATCATTTTTCCTCTCGGCCTTGTTGGTCTCACCCATGAAGTGCACAGACTGAAGGAGAGCCCGAGAGTGGGGGGTGACCAGTGGCGGAGCACCCAGCAGGCGTGCTGCAGGTGAGACCCCAGCTGAGGTAGGACAGGCTGTGCTGGGCCCACCCTCCATGTGGGACAGGTAGGGCGTGGACAGCCACTGGGCTGGCTGCATACTGAGGTGTCGGGTGTGTGGTCTGAGATGCAATGCAAGAGACAGAAACAATTTCACCTGGAAGGGACTTGAAGAACGGTCTCATTAAATCCTATTTCCACTGAGAAGAGTGAGATGGAAAGAGGGAATGGGACACAGCAAGGCTTAGATAGCAGCTCTGCTGACTTGCAGGCTGTGGGGCACCTCCCGGGGCTGACTCTCCACTTGCCCTTGCCCCTAAGGAACCAGGGCCCAGTGTTTCATTGACATGTCGACGGCCACAGAGCTAAAGCATATGAGACCTGAGATTGGACCAGGCTCTCCTGTCTCTGGTCCAATGTTTTCTCACTATAGCACTCTGAATGCTCGACCAGTCATTCCAGCAAGCCTGCAGGTAAGTAGAGAAGGACCGACCCCGTGGGCTTCCCCTGAGCCGCCCCAGTCGCTCGGTACCCCAGCAGAACTGAGTGGTAGTGTGACTTCTGTGCTGGGCAGAGGCCACAGGGCTGGGCCAGGGAACAGAATGGGCTCTGGCTTTCTCTAGAGCAGCAGGAGAGAGAGGAAACCAGGGAAGCCAAGCATTTGCTAGACATTTCCTACTTATTAAAATTGATCTGGTTTTTGCTAGTTTTCTTTATCTTGACGCGTCTCTGACAGCATCTGTCTCTAAAGGTGATGATCTCACCTGCTCTGGAGAACCACCCCCAGCCTGCCCTGCTGGTCTTCAGGGGCCACGCCTAGAGGCACATTTGATGCTGCCGGGGCAGGGGCAAGCTTTACACTAACATGGGAGCACAGTGCTGGAAGGCAGTGGGCTGAGCTGGGACTGTGTGGTACACACATGAGATGCTTCCGTCACAGGCAAGAGCTGAGACCTCATCACCTGCTTAGCCTGCAGAGCCTCTGGATGGCAAGTTTAAGAATGTCACACACAATTCCCAGTCCTCACTCCAGCCCTGCTCACCTGTGATCTTGGTGGTCACCCCATCTTTCTGTGTCCCATTTGCTTCAGTCATAGAATGGGGTCCTCATTGCAGGTCCTCTCGGGATGTTTGCCTGCGGAGTGCCAGGCTGGGCTGGGAATGCCGGGTAGGGGACAGATGACTTTCTTTCAGAACTGGAGCAAGGTGGCTGTGAGAACTGATTGGGTCAACACGACTTGGGAATTAGCCTTTCTCAGTTTGGGTGGATAAGAGCTGGGAACCACTGTGCCCATGCTCTATCACTCTCATTGACCCTTGCACACAAGAGCAGGTTTAATGCCACTTACAGATCTAGAAGTAGAGACAGGGGTTCCCACCAGTCATCTTTTTTTCTTTAAGTTTTTTTTTTCTCTTTTTGATGTGGACCATTTTTAAAGCCTTTATTGAATTTGTTACAATATTGCTTCTGCTTTACGCTTTGGTCTTTTGGCCACAAGGCATGTGGGATCAGCTCCCTGACCAGGGGTCGAACCTGCACCCCTGCATTGGAAGGTGAAATCTTAACCACTGGACTGCCCCCTCACCAGTGATCTGTGTTGCAGCCTGCTGGAGGGTCTCAGTCCCCTGAACACATCTGCGTTTTTTAGCTGAGGCTGCAGCCCTGAGGTTGGAGGCTGGCAGGCAGTCTGCCCACAGCAGAGGGAAGATCCTCCAAGAAGCTCAGTGATTGGTGACCTGTGTCTCAGCGTTAATTCTCATACCGCTAAGTAGTCAGGGCTGGATCTTCCTTGAGGTCTTGGAGAAGGGTCTCTCTTTCCAGAGTGGGCACAGGTCAGAGCAGGCCTTGGCTCTATCTTCACAGCAAAGCTGGGAAAGTGACACAGGACCCTGAAGCCTGCAGATGCAGCCTGGCTTAGGATGTGTACTAAGAGAAAAGTAAATTAAACCCTGTGGAGGCGGAGGTCTTTTGAGGGGAGACCAAGACTCAGACACAGTGGTTCAGAGACGGTAACTTCAGACACACCACCTTAGTGGTGTGTCACGTTCATGTTGAACAGTTCAGGTCAGTCTTGGGGATGGTGTCTCTGGATGGTGCATACGGCCTCATGAGGTGCATTGGTGTGCTAACCTGGCTCATCCCTAAATGCCCCGTGTACTTTTAACTCAGTTTAAAGTAACTTTACAGGAGTTCCCTGGTGGTCCAGTGGTTAGGATCCTAAGCTTCCACTGCAAGGGACATGTGTTCGATCCCTGATGGGGAACTGAGATCTGAAAGCTGTGCAGCATGACCTAATAAAAGTAATTAATAATAAATAAAGTAATTTTGTTACAATGGGGAATATATAAAGAGGCTATAACAAAAAAATGTATACTTGGTCCATCTTGAATTGTGTTAATGTCAGATTGAGAGTGAGAGCTAGGTTTCCAGCTTGCCAGGTTCAACCATGTTCCCACCTGTGGGGAGGGGAGGGGTGTGCAGAGCACCCTGGAACCAGGGTGTCCTCATGCTTGCTTAGGCGCCATCACAGTCCTAGTCACGCCTGCTCTAGTCCAGTTGTCACCGGCAGCCAAGAATGAGAACCCGGATGCCCTTTCCTGCAGACTGGCTCCGACTGAACTCTGTTGACCAGCCCTTCCTCGCCTCTTGGCCCTGGGTGGGCTAGAGGGCTCCTTGGTGAAGAGGTTGGTCACTTCTGGTGTTGGGGCAGGGACAGGCAGTAACTAGTAACCTGCTTCCCACCTGAATTTGATACTGGGCACTAATGTCATTTTTCCTAAGACCCAGGGTGGAAGCAGCAGGGTCAGAGTCCCGGGTGCAAAGGCGTGAGTCCCGTGATCTCTTGCTAGTAGGGGTGCCACCCACTTTCACGAGAAGGGGCTCAGGGAACAGCACCGAGCAGCAGCGTTTCCCTCTTGCTTTGTGAACTGCAGATCGCCCCAGCAGAAGGCCCAGACGTCAGTGAAAGGATGGTCATCATCACCGGCCCACCTGAAGCTCAGTTCAAGGTCAGTGCCAAGAACCCCCTCAGTCCTGAGCGCAGGGCTGCCTGTTGGGGGCGCTGAGGACCTTTAGCAAGTGCAGCTACCCAAGAGGCAGCTTCAGGCTCTTCTTTGGAGGCTCCATCCTATCTCCATTTCTCTTCCTGCAGTAGTCTCCGACCCACCCTATCTTCCCCACCTTCAGGCTGTGCCCTCTATACGGAGCCCTGCTTCCCTTCTCTCCTGTGAAAAGTGGACTATCAGTGCCCAGTTCAGATGGCACCCCCTCGGGAACATCTCTGATCCCTTGGCCATGGTTTTGAAGATGGAGTATAATAAACACAGGGTGTGAGGAAAAATAGCAGTTTGTTGGAAGGGTTTGGAGGAGTGCATTCCTTTACTTTATATTGGAGTACAGTTTTTTTTCAATGCTGTGTTAGTTTCAGGTATTTAGTTATACACATACATATATCCATTCTTTTTCAGGTTGTTTTCCCATGTAGCTTATTACATAATGTTGAGTAGAGGTCTTTGTTGACATATGATAATCCCAAACTCCTAAACATTTTTTTAAATGGGCTGAGTAACATCCCACTCTGTGTGTGTGTGTGTGTGTGTATCACCTTTGGTTGGAGCATTTAATCTGTTTACATTTAAGGTAATTATCAATATGTATGTTCTTATTGCTGTTTTGTTAATTGTTTCAGGTTTGATTCTGTAAGTCTTTTTTCTTCCCTTCCTCTTTTGTTCTCTCACAATTTGATGACTATCTTTAGTGTTGCATTTGGACTATTTTTTGTGTACTTATTATAGATTTTTTGGTTTGCAGTTACCAGGAGGTTTTGACATAGCCGTCTTTATATATACAACATTGTTTAATCAAGTTGCTGGTCTAATTTCAAATGCCTTTCCAATATCCTGCATTTGTGCTCCCTCATGATTACTGGTTTTGACATCATATTTATGTATGAATGATTTCCCACCTTTACTGTATTTTTGTCTTTACTGGTGAACTTGCCCACTCATAATTTTCTTGTTTCTAGTTGTGGGCTTTTCCACAGAGAAGTTCCTTTAGCTTTTGTTATAAAGTAGTGGATTCTCTTAGCTTTTGCTTATCTGTAAAGCTTTTGACTTATTCATTGATTCTGAATGAGAGCCTTGCTGGCTATCCTTTGTTGTAGGTTTTTCCCTTTCATCACTTTATTTTCTCAAGCCATTTCTCTCTCTCATCTTCCTCTAGAACCCCTATAATGTGAATGCTGGTGCACTTAATGTCACCCCAAAGGTCTCTTAGACTTGCTCATTTCATTCTTTATTCTGTTCCACAGTGTGATTTTCACCAATCTGTTTCCCAACTCACTTATTCATTCTTCTGCCTCCTTTATTCTGTTATTGATTCCTTCTAGTATATTTTTCATTTCAGTTATATTGTTCACCTCTGTGCTATTGTTCATCTTCTAGTTCTTTGTTAAACAAACACTTCCAAAATCTTAGGTCATCCTTTACTATCATTATTTTGAATGTCTTTTTCAGGTAGATTCAGATCAGTCGCTCAGTCGTGTCCGACTCTTTGTGACCCCATGGACTACAGTATACCAGGCTTCCCTGTCCATCACCAACTCTTGGAGCTTACTCGAACTCATGTCCATTGAGTCGGTGATGCCATCCAACCATCTCATCCTCTATCGTCCCCTTCTCCTCCCACCTTCAATCATTCCCAGCATCAGGGTCTTTTCAAATGAGTCAGTTCTTTGCATCAGGTGGCCAAAGTATTAGAGTACTGAGCTTCAGCATCAGTCCTTCCAGTGAATATTCAGGACTAATTTCCTTTAGGATGGACTGGTTTGATCTCCTTGCAGCCCAAGGGACTCTTAAGAGTCTTCTCCAACACCACAGTTCAAAAGCATCAATTCTTCAACACTCAGCTCTCACATCCATACATGACTACTGGTTCATCACAGCACTGTTTGTAATAGCCAGGTAATACATGTTTGTAAAGCCATGTAATACATGACTACTGGAAAAACCAAAGCTTTGACTAGATGGACCTTTGTTGGCAAAGTAATGTGTCTGCTTTTTAATACGTTGGCTAGGTTGGTCATAACTTTTCTTCCAAGGAGCAAGTGTCTTTTAATTTCATGGCTTCAGTCACCATCTGCAGTGATTTTGGAGCCCCCCAAAATAAAGTCTGCCACTGTTTCCATTGTTTCCCCATCTATTTGCCATGAAGTTCTGGGACCAGATGCCATGATCTTTGTTTTCTGAATGTTGAGTTTTAAGCCAACTTTTTCACTCTCCTCTTTCACTTTCATCAAGAG